CTGAGCAACCTCCTCTGGATGTCACAGGAGGCCATGTGTCACCTTCACTTTGGACCTTCACCTCTGTGGCCGTAGCCACATCCTGGCCTCAGTGGTGATACTGTCCTAAGATGGGTACAGGGTGACAGGCATGTTTGCTTTTGGGGGATTGAGATTTCCCATTTCCCAGGTGGTAGGTGTTGCCGCTCTTCAGGGCCCCCACGGATGTGGCTGCGCCCCCATCTCAGTGCCACACACATCTGGGCAACATGCCGTGGCCTGGAAGCACCACGTCTCCCCGCAACCCCTTGACCAGGCCCAGCCACAGCTCCGCTCCACACATGGCGGCCAAGAAGTGGGGAAGGCAGGCGGTGGGGGGCAGATAACCCTGGTGGCCGCACTGCCCAGCCCCCACATGCGCCATTCACCCTCCCCTGGGCAGATGGGCCTCCTGTGGCCCCTCCTGTGGCCCCTCCTGTGGCGGTGGCAGCTCTACAAATGCTGTTTCATGTGCCTTCCTCACATCAGGCCTGGGGGAGGCGCCACCCCATCCAGAGACCCAGGAACTAAGAGACCATCACTGCCCCTCACACCCAGCAGGGGACAGGGATAGGATGACTGCAGGGACCCTGTGAAAGGGGGTGTGGAGGGCACCCGGCAGCCCCTGCCCCATGGCCACCTAAAGTCTTGCCAGGCAGGCACGGCAGGGCCCCTGCCCGGCAGTGGACAGCCTGCTCCCCAAGTGTTCTCTGTGGCCCGGGGCTCCAGCCCCAGGAGGCCGCCTTTCCTGTTTCATTGGCCACGCTTGATGGTGTCCTCAGAGGAGCCCTCCTCAGTGGCAGAACTGCTTCCTCAGCCTCTTCCCTGCCAAGGTTGTTTTCAAGTCTCAACAGTCACACTTTCGTCCCCGCCTCTTCTTTCTCTGGCAATTCAGCTTGAAATGACTCTGTGGTCTGCGGGTGACTCCACTCCAGGTGCCGACAGCCACGCCCGCAGTGCCACCTCCAGACGCTGCTGAGCTGTGCACCTCTGCCCGACACTGCCTTTGGGAAGCCCAGCGTCATAGCCCTGAGGGAGGAGGGCATCTGGATCCAGATGGCACCCTTGCCACGAGCTGTCCTGGCTCTGTCCCCACCCACGCACGGGAGGGCATGCCACCTGAGTCCATGTAGCCCTTCTCCTCCCAGCTTCAAATGCAGAATTCTGTTCCAGCTCACTGCTTCCCAGTCCCTCTGCCGACACTCAGGCCAGCGCTGTTTCCCAACCTCGTCCACTGGACGTGCACATTCATCTAGCTCCGCATCTGCCTCGTGAGTCAGCACAGTGGAGCTTTACCAGATGTTTTGCCACCACCCGATAGCTTGCCAACATTCCGAATCCCGGCAGGTCACGTGTGCTTAGCACACCCCTCTTTTAGTGGCCAGCTTCTCTATTAAGCCGAGATGCTCCAGCCAGACAACTACGGAGCACAGGCGTCTCAAACGACAGCTTTATTCCTCATGCTGCAGGCCCAGCTCAGGCTGGCGGGGAAGGGCAGCTTCTCTTCAATGTGACCGACCGAGGACCTGGACCAATGGAACAGAGATCCCGAATGTTTCCAGGCACCTTGCTGGGGATAAGAGCTGTTGAGGGGCTCACAAGGGCAGAGGAAGCTCTGGCGGACCCACAGCCACAGAGCTGCAACTCCAACACGCACAAAAGTCGGGGTATATGGCAAATAGCACTGATGACAATGATGGAGCCGAGGCCGGAAGCTGAGAGCGATGAGCTCTGTATGGAGGGCGGGGGACTAGGCGCCAGCCAGGCCGGTAGGAGGGGGGGTGTCGTAGAGGCAGGGTGGGGTGATGTTCAAAAACAGAAAAAAAGCTGATGAAAGATTGGCTTCTACACTCGAGAGCTGAAGCCTGAGGCAACAGGGTGAGGGAGACCCATGGAATCCCTCGCCCTCAAGGTCCAAATAAGGTTTTCCAAATCCCTCAGGCCATGGCTGAGCAGCGACTCGTCTCCCGGAGGGCCCCTCTGCCATCCCTGCTCTAACTGGGACTTGACGCTGGTGCTTCTCCCCTAAGGCCAGGTGCTTTGCATAGAACACTCGGGAACTCCAGGTATAAAGGCAAGGCACAGTTGACAGTCACCTGCCCACAGCAACACAGTGGGAAGGAGAGCACGCCACGCAGCCCTCACTTACACCTGAGAGGACTTTAGAACACGCATCATCAGAATCTCAGACCTAAAGGGGGCTTTTGAAATCATAACAGGAAGAGGTGCTCGTGAAACAAGGACAGGTAGTTTATAAAAATGAATCAGCCAGAGACCCAGGAAATGTTTTAAAAAGCAATCACTAAAATAAAAAATGAAAACTCAGTGAACAGTGCCATGGTTTGAATGTTTCCTCCAAAATTCATGTTGAAATTTAATTGCCATTGTGATGGTCTTCAGAGGTGGAACCGGTAGGCAGTGATCAGGCCAGAAGGGCTCCGAGCCTCCCTGAACGGATTCCTGTCCCTGTCAGAGCGCGCGGGCTGTCAGGAGCCTGGGCTGTAGCCGCCTCTCCCTTGCGTGTCCTCCTGCTCCTCCGTCTTCCACCATGGAGTGATGTGGGAAGTAAGAATAAATAAAAGGTTCCTCCTCAAAGCTTTCCTCGTAGTTCACTATGAATAAATACCGGTTTCTTCAGAGGTTAATTTATTTTAAAGCTTTTGCTAATAAAGTAGCTGTTGGTCATAATAAAAAATAAATGCATCCCCTGTTCTTAGTTCTTAAACTTTAACCTAGATATCTGCCCGGACATGCCTGGGCTTGGTCAAAGCTTATTCCCTTTCCTTTTTTGGAAAAGTTCTCTCTTCTCTAAGCATTCCTCACGTTACTTCCTCCTCCTCTGTTCTCCTCGGGCTTTACCTGGAAAGTTTCCAAGTTTTTAGCCAATTGGGTTAAGCATAGAGTGTGAGGTCCCGTTCTGGCCAATGGAAATTGGACCCAGCAGTAGGGCGACTGTGTCGGGTTATGAAAGTTATCAATGTCCCTGTCTCCTTGTTCAGGTGTGCCCTCCTGGCAAGACTGCCGGCGAGTTGCACCCTTCCTGCAGGAAGTAAAGCAGCCTTGCTGAGTGGTCCATTGTCTCACTGTGGGTTTTTCCCAACGTTTTAAACCCGTTTCCAACAAATTATGTGTCAAAAAGTCCACCAGATTCCAGCCCCTCAACCTCGGAATTCCCAGCCTCCAAAACGATAAGAAATACATTTATTTTCATTATAAATTTCCCAGTCTGTTATTGGTACAGCAACAGAAAATAAACTTGGGGATACTAGGTTGTGGAGAGTAAAGAAAAAGTTCCAATCCGTCAGGGCATCCTCATTCTCAACATGGCCTGCATTCTACACTCCAGGGTCCCCCATCTTCATCCCCCCCACCCCACAACTGTCTCATTTCTTTAGCCGTTTTCTCCCCACCTTCTCTTCCCTCCCCATCAGACCTTCCACCCAGCAAGCTAAGCCACCTCAAGTAGCCATGCCCTCAGGGCCCTAACCTAAGCACCCACCAAGGTCATTTCCCCAACAGACTGTTTTTTTGCTTTTTTTCCCCCCCGTGAGTGAGGTCACCTATGGGCTTAACGATAGAGCATACTTCAGACAGTTCTTTTACTAAGAGGAATCTGATGTCAGCTGTTAAGCTCCCCCCCCACACACACACACACACTTTCCACCATCTCTCATTAATCACCTGGTCAGACAGAAGCCCAAGAGCAGGTACAAGCCAGCTAAAGGTGGAGCTTGGCAAGGCTGTCCACACAGAGTGGCCAGGCCCAGCACAGATCTGAGGGGCTTTTAACAGGCACAGACAGAGCCCTAAGATCACTACCACCCACCCACCCGGCCAGCCAGGCCCAGATAAACCTCTCCTTGTTCCAAATGAATGAGCCAACAGAAAAAAATTCCGAAGTGTGGAGGGAATACAACACCCACAATGCAGAAAATCACCCATATCTGAAATATGCTCACCTCGGAGAACCAGTCAGCTGTGGAAATTCTCTGCATCGTGCTCATAAGAAAACTGAAGAACACACAACCGCTTCATACCAACAGGAAAAGAATTCCTATAAGGAGCATATTTACTTGTTCCCACTATTTGGTTTACTGAGCATGTATTATACGTATGATGGAAAAAAAGCTCAATCTAAAATATTGCCAACAAAGAACCCATTCCTCGTGTTGCAGTGACGAAGTAGGCCGAGGTCGGCCTGGTTTTACACTGGCTGCCCCCATCTAAGGCGCTGATGTGTCCTGTTACCAGCGGAGGATGTCCAGGTTCTTGGCATCTTGAACAAAGAACTGAATAAAACACACACACAGAGAGGAGTAGGAATGAAGGGATTTATTGAAAATGGAAGTACACCCCAGGGTGGGAGCAGGCCTGTGCACAGTGCATTTGCGAGTTAAAATACCCACTAGTGGATTCCATTGGTTACTTGGGGTACACCCGACGAAGATGGAGAGGATGAAGTCAAGTCACCAAGTCCTTTCTTTGGCCTATGCCCCATGGGGAGAGGATTTCCCGTCATAACTGAAGTGTGCATCGGCCGATGTCCCCTGCACCCAGACCCTACCTTCCTGCCTCACTACCTACAGCTATGTGGTCCTGAGCTGTCACCTCTTCCCTGTGAAGCTCAGGTTTCTCGTTGGTAAAATGAGGCAGAAATACCTACTGCTGAGATGTGTGAGGACAACACACACAGCGTCTCAACACGTCTTACACGGGTTTTAGCCCTTTGAGCCGCTGAGGGCTGCCCCAGGTGGAACTCTCTTCACTTTTTTTGGAGAACTGACCATGGGTGGCTGCAAATACCAAATTGGTTCCTGTTTCAGCCCTGCCTGGGAAGATTCCTTCAGCTGGAACCTTTAGGTTAGGAAAAGGGAGAAGGACCCAACTCCCACTGTACCCGGCCTGAGATAAACGCACAGAAGAGCAATCCTTGCTAATGCTGGGCAGTATGTGGACAGACACTGAATTTTAATCTTTGTATTGCCATGAGAATGCAATGACCAACACAGTTATTGCCCCCTGAACAGAGACGTAAAGTTCAGAAGAGATCCCTGGTGAGGAAGCCAGGGAACATTTCCCTGCAGAACAAGACGGGCAGCAGGATGAGATAGGGCTGATTTCACAGGGCTCCTCAGCACCCATGAACTTGAGAAACAAGTGGTCAGATGTATTTCAGTGCACCAGCCAGCAGTGGGGTCACGGTGGGAACTAGTCATGCCTGAAGGCCCTTCATCTTCCTATAACCCTCACTGAGGCACCAGATGCTGTTCCCTCCTTTGGCAAGGGCCCCGGGGCTGTGATGCTTTAATCACAGTACTTCAGACCAAGAACCTGCAGTTGAGGTGGCTGGGGTCATGAACCAGCTGCCCTCCAAACCCCTTCTCATCCCACCAACATAAGCTGCTTACAACCCCTCGAGGTACCCCAGGGGCCAGAGGGGAATGTCGTCCTTCATGGCTGAGGGAACACCTCTGCACCCTGGGGTAATGGATGGGACCACAGGCCATAATGTCTTAGTCTGTTTCATGCTGCTATACCCGAGGCTGAACAGTTGTTTAGAAAAACGCAAAGCAGGTTTATTTGGCACAAAATTCTGATGGAAATTTCAAGATTGGGCAGCTGCAACTGCTTCAACTCATGCAGAAATGGAAGGGGAGGGGCATGCATGGAGATGGCATGGCAGCAGAGAAAGCCACAGACAACTCCAGGAAGGCTGCCTCTCTAACCAGCTCTCATGGGGGCTCACCCCTCCACACAGGGTACTCATCTCTTCGAGGGATCCACCCTATTACCCAAACTCCTCCTACTAGGCACCACCTCCCAACACTGCCACATTGGGGATCAAATTTCAATACCGGTTTGGGCGGGGGCAGACCACACAGGCAAATCCCAGCATGGGGTGCTGGCAGCGGGCGTGCTGATGCAGGGCTGCTGCCAACCCGGCACCAGCTGTCTCTTGGCCTTCCAGATCCTGGGAATCTGGCTACGGGCATGAGTCCAGCCTTGGACACAGAGGTGGCTGCAGGAAGCTGTTAGCTCTGCAGATTTTATCAGCCTGGGAGAATGGCACAACACAGGCTTCCAAGGAAAGCCAGGATACTGGGCCAGCCTCAGCTCTGCTACACACCCCTATGTGGCACCTGGGCAAACCAGCAGCCAAGTACCCAGGACAGGGAAGACATGGATTCTTACTTCTCCGGGACGCCTAGGTGAAGCAGAGAGCAGATTCTTCTTGAGTCCTCTCGGCTCCGGTGCAACCACCAGCCTAGCAAAGAGTCAGAAACATCTTCTGGAAGAATCAGCATCATAGGGGTGATGAATGGGCAGTGAAGTATCTCACAGGTGCTGGGCTATGGGGTCACTCCCTTTTCCAGACTGAAGCAAGGAGATAAGCAGTCTGGGCCCCTAATCAGGGGCCTGGGGCCTGGCGGGATGAAAACAGCAGTGTACAGCCACCTGTACAGCTGCTCCTCACGCAGGCCCCACCTGGCCTCTCGGAGGGCGGAATCTGGGACTCCTGAACCAGATTCAGTTTCTCCTTCAATAGTAGGGAGTTTTCGCTCCCGACTGCAGAAAAATACCTTCAATGTGACCATCCCTCATAGCCCGAGGCTGGGTAAAATGGCCTGAGGAGGCAAAATCTGAAAAGCGCTATTAGGTGGCAAACTGCTGTCACTAGAGGGCTGAGGCCCCGTTCCTCTCCTCTGCCTGACCACCCTCGTTCCTGAGAAGGGAACGGGTTCTGGCAGCAAGGGTGAACCCTCGAGCAGGTCCCAGGATCACGACCCTCACCACTCCGCCGCACTCGGTGGCTACAGCTGTAAATGTGGGTCCACGGGGTCACCACGGCCACCAGGACCACGTGCCCGGCCATCTGCGGAACAGGAAAGCGCCCAGCGGGATGCTCTGGCCTCCTCCCCGCCCCCCCGATAAGATGCAAAGCGTTCGACCCAAAATGCCTTGAAACGGAGCCCAGACCCCGGCAGGTCCGACCCCGGCGACGCCGCTCCCACAAGCCCCTCCCTCGGGGCCGTCTGACGTCCCAGGCGGTCACTCTCTTTTCCAGACTCAGCAAGGTGCTGAGCCTGCTGAACTCCTAAGCCCTGGGGCCCGGTGGGATGAAAAGCCCTATTAGGTGGCAAAGGGGTTAAGCCTCCTTCTCCCCCGCCTGACAGCGACGCTGGAGAGCTCGCAACTCGCCTTCCCCAGCGCAAACAACCGTTCCTCCCAAAAACCCGCGGCCACCGCCTCCGCAGCAGAGCGCCGGAAGCAGAGAGCGTCTCGGGAGGGAGGTGCATGCTGGGAGCGGCGCTGCATGCTGGGAGCTGTAGTCTGCGGCGCAACTCGGCCAACGTGGCTCCCTGGTTCCTGACGTCCCCAGAGCCCGCGTGTGCAGGCGGTCCCGACACCGCGGCCCTAGCCTCACCGGCTCCCCGACTAAACGCCAGCCGGCCCTCTGGGTATGAGCGGCGGAGGTCGGGACAGTCCACGGCTCTGCCGCCCCCGGAAGGAAAAATCAGCGCGGACAGCAGCCCGGCCTCGCGAGAGCTGAGCTCAGGAGCCCCGCCTCCTGAGCCTCAGAAGTCCGTGGCGCTTTCCGTCGCCCGAGTGCGATTGGGCCGCGATGTCACGTGCCCCGAAGCGCCGCGCCCGATTGGCTGCCGCCTGGTTACCTATGGGCGACTCCGGTCCGGCGTCCTGGCCGGCCCAGCACCTGCGCGGCCCTCGGGCTTGGAGGGCTGGGCCGGGCGGGACGGGCCGGCGGCGGCGGCGGCGGCCTCGCCCTCTCTCCGGGGCTGCGACCCCGAGGCTGCCGGCTGCAGATGGGAGCCCGCGGAGCCGAGGATGCGGGCGGGCTGCGGCGCGACCCGGCGCGGGAGCTGTTCCGGGACGCCGCCTTCCCTGCCGCGGACTCCTCGCTCTTCTGCGACCTGTCTACGCCGCTGGCCCAGTTCCGCGAGGACATCACGTGGAGGCGGCCCCAGGTGCGGCGGGCGGGGTTTCTGGCTTCTGAGCGCGCCGATCCTCGAGCGAGCCGGCCGGGGTGGGCGGCCGGGGTTGCCCCGAACGCAGGGTCCGCAGTTCTCCTCAGAAGTGGGCGCCCGGCCCCCTCTTTCGTGGCTCCTTCCCACGCCCGCCCAGAACGAGCGGGACTCCGCGCTGCCCCGAGGACACGAGGCGAGACCGCGGCCCCCACCTGCGAGAGCTCCAGTCCAGAAGGATGCCCAGAGCGCAGCAAGAGGCGTTTAACAGCCCCAGCCCCTGCCCCTGCCCCAGCCCCTGCCCCTGCCCCTGCCCCTGCCCCTGCCCCTGCCCCTGCCCCAGCCCCAGCCCCTGCCCCTGCCCCTGCCCCAGCTCCTGCCCCTGCCCCTGCCCCTGCCCCTGCCCCAGCCGCACCGCCACCCCCACCTGTTTGCTTCCGCCCTGCAGAGCGTTTGTGCCTGCTCCTCCCGGCGGAGGGCCGCCCGTGCCCCTCTGGAGTGTCTAGACTGAGCCCACAAAGCAAAGCGTGAGAGAATTTCAGTTTCGGGATTTTTTGCACCTGCTTTTCCAGTTGTAAACGCTTAAAAATGGCAACTCCAAGGGATGCCCTGGCCGAGCGCCGTATTGTTTTCGGAAATGCTCTTTCTGCTGAGTGAGACGGCCCAGGGAGCAGCCTTGCCTAAGTGGATGCGGTCTTAGCGGAGACAACTGATGGCACCTGCCCTCGAACAGAGCTGGAACCTCTGGGCTCTGGTGACTGAGATGGCTTTGACAGGCAACCGGGTTTCTCGGACAACACGGAAGGGCTGGGGAGGAGGCAAGGTCAGAGCTTGTAGAGCCTTGTCATCGGAATGTGGGTTTTATTTTGTTAAAAGGTTGATTTTTAGGTGCAGTTAGAGGCCACTAGAGGGTTTGGTAGAGGAGTGATTCGTCTAGATGTGTGTTTTAGAAGCTCACTCTTGCTGCTGGGTGGGAAGTGGTTTGTCGGGGCAAGAATGCAAGGGGCCATCACAGTGGTCTTGGAGAAAGATGAAGGGGAGTCAGATTAGCGTGACGACCATTAGGATGGGCATTTGGAGTAGCGTGGTTTGAGACCTACTTTGCAGCGGGGACTGAGAGGCCTCACTGACTGACTGAAACAGAGGGTGAGGATAGTGGAGGAAGCAACATGCTTTCTAGGTTTCTGGCCTGAGCAAGTGGGTAGATGGTGGTCCTGGGACAGAGCCTGGGGTGACCTAGAGTTGGACTTTGCTCTCAGGTGTGCAGGTGGAGCTGTCCTGGAGGCAGGTGTATACAGAGTAGGGAGATCTGGGCTAGAGGCATTCATCTGGGAGGAGGAGCATTTAAATGGTTTATGGTCCACAGCCTGGCAGAGTGTCTCGGGGGAGCATCAGCAAAGAAGAAGGGGGCCTTGGGACTGAGCCTTGAAGAGCCCTAACATTTCTTGAGGTCAGGCAGCTTCCCTGACAGGTAGACTTGAGAAGCAGCAGGCAGTGAGGGAGAGGACACCCAGGGACATGCAGCCTCAGGGAACTGAGTGGGGACTGCCTCGGGGTAGCAGACGGCAGCTGTCCTGAATGCTGCTGAGTACTGTAGAGTTGGGACCGAGAGAAGCAGAGATAACAGTGACATTGATAGAGGCAGCTCAGGGGGCATGACTGGCTCAGAAGCTGGAGAGCCTGTGTGGTGAGCGATTGGGAAGCAGCAGTGGTGTCACGGTGCTTTCTCAGGCTGTAACGAGGAGAGGCCCGAAGGTACTGTGGTGCTGAGGGGTAATGTCCCGTCTTCATGCTGCTGGGACTCTGCCCCGGGACGTGGAAAGGAAGGAGTCCAGGCTCTGAGGTGGCCAGAGGGCAGGAGATAGGGTCAGGTCCAGAAGCAGGAGGCAAGGTTGGCAGCTCAGAGGGGCGGGCAGGGGGAGTGTGGATGCTTTGCGAAGACGGGGAGAAAAGGGAAGGTCTGTGATAGTTTGGGGATGTGGGAAATGGAGCCTGCTAGAGAAACAGGAAGACTTCCAGCAGGATGGAGGACGCATTTGAGATCTGCCAGCATGAATGAAAAGTGAAACTTCTCTAAACCAACATTTTGCTGTTTTGAGAAGGAGCTTGGGAGAGTTTGCGATTTTTCCAGTAAGGAAGGAAGACAGAGACAGGCCACCCAGAATTAAGCTGGACGGGGGGATTTGAAGCCAGGAGCTGAAGAACACCCGCCACGGGAAACCACCTCCCTGTCCCCTTCTGGGCTACAGTGATGATCGGAAAAGCTCTACCCCAACCCTTCACCTAAATCCTTGGGTTCTTAGTTTGAAGGATTCCCCAGCAGGCATGATCTGACTCTGGACAACTTTCTTTATTTCAGGAGATCTGTGCCACGCCCCGGTTGTTTCCAGATGACCCACGAGAAGGGCAGGTGAAGCAAGGACTGCTGGGGGATTGCTGGTTCCTGTGCGCCTGTGCCGCCCTGCAGAAGAGCAGGCACCTCCTGAACCAGGTGGGGGCCCCTTCTTCCCTGTTTGTCCTGGTGCCGGTTTGTCTTCTGCGCGATTCTCCTGGCTGCTGAGCACCAGGAGCCCTCGTGAAACAGACCCGTGCAGCAGTGGGTCTCTCGCCGTGTAGGGTAAAGACAGGAGCGTTCTGAGGCAGAGACTGAGGACTGCACTGTGTCCCTCTGCTGCAGGGGGTGGGCCTTGGCCCTGCCAGAGGGCTCCGTCAGGGAGGCGTTCATCCAGCTCTCTGCCCTCCTGAGCCCCGGGCTCTCCATGGAGTCCGAGCACCACATTTAGAGTAAAGAGACAAACGTGCCAGCTCACAGGACGGGTGGCCGGGGCCTCTGCCCCAGATCTCTCATGAGCTTGCTGCCTGGCTTTCTTACAGCGTTTGCAAAAGATGATTAAACCTGGCTCTGTCAGTAGACAGATACTCTGGGCGGAGAAGGCCTTCTCAGGTTTGCCTTACCTAGGAGTCTTCACGGTTTTATGCTTGGCTTCTTGCTGAGCATTGCTGATTAAAGCAGCGGCCTTGACAGTGGTGACCTCACTCGGCGTGTCACTCATTCCCAGGCCCCATGCTAAGCATGTCACAGTCACTGACTCTCAGTGTCATAGCCTTGCCTGCTTTGACTCTTGTTTCTTTCTTTTTAAACAAATGAGTGCTAAAACCACTGCCATTGTGGGGCCAGTAAGTGGCAGAGCCAGAACCGTACCAGCGTCGGGGGAGTGGTGCCCGGCCTGCGCTCCCCCTGACGCTGGGTCAGAATGCTTACCCCTGAAGGAGCCCCGCGGTAGACGTGGGGATGCAGTCAGCTGGCCCAGTGTGGGGGCACCAGGCTCCCAGCAGCAGAGGGGCTGCCATTCCTGTGGTGACATGTTGCTTGCAGCCAGCTTAGTCAGGAACGGGATCACTCATGCCCTTGAAAGTCACATTGTTTTGGCTTCAGGTCAGGTGCTTTTAGTGAGGGCAGCAGACTGTATCCTGGGATACGTGGCTCCCTCGGTGTGGTCCACAAGCATTGCAGTGAGAGGTCTATTAATCTCGTGTGTGGTGCTCAAGCCCTGTGCACGCACCAACATCCAGATGTGCCACAGAGTTCTCTGCAGAGCGTGGTGCCTGCAGAGTGCTCAGCTGTGGCCACGCTGTGGCCGGGACACCGGAGCTGTGCGGGGCGATGCTTATGTGATGCTTGCCTTTGCTTCTCCCTGTGTGTGCCCAGGTCATTCCTCCGGGACAGCCGAGCTGGGATGACCAGGAGTACCAGGGCTCCTTCACCTGTCGCATTTGGCAGTTTGGACACTGGGTGGAGGTGACCACAGACGACCGCCTGCCGTGCCTTGCAGGGAGACTCTGTTTCTCCCGCTGCCAGAGGGAGGATGTGTTCTGGCTCCCCTTACTGGAAAAGGTCTATGCCAAGTGCGTGTGCTGGGGCCCGAAAGGCCTGGTCTGTGGCGAGTGGTAGTTGCTGCCACCACAGGCTGCCCTGGGAGGGTCTCCACTCACTCCGGGCTGCAGAGCCCGCTTTGGTTCTGAGGGTCTCGTCCTGTGGGTCTGGCAGGCTGGCCAGACGCAGAGATTCTCCTCCGAGGCCTGTGGTTTGCCCACTCCCTCTTTCCCTTCCCTTGCTCCAAAGCCCAGCACTGGGTCATCCTCCACAGAGAGCATGTGCGCTGGCTTCCTTGTGTTCTCCACCCCGGCAAGAGAGACTTCTGTTTGTTGAATGGTTGGGACAGGCGACCTTGCTGTGTAGTTGCCAGGGAGAAGTGAGGCCACCCCAACGTTCCAGCACTTCTGTATCGTGGTGCTGGCTCCGGGACCAGGACCCTCACC